TTTGTAAGGAGTAAAATGGCAAAATTCTTCATTGTCCAAAATGCAGTGGATCTAATCAGTAGCTTAAATGAACCATCTTTTTTCATGTCCTTGTTAAATTCTAATCAAGCATTGTATTACAGAACTGTTAACTTTATTCTTAAGTGAAACTGAGAAATGTGGAAGGAATGCCTTGTTAGGAAGTTTCTGAAATGTAACATTTCACAGCCAAAACGTCCTGCTTTAGCAAACTAAGCTACAGCACTCAATGTGAGTTCTATTCCCCCCTTGGCAGCACACTTTGATTTAACTCTTCTATAGCAGCATAGCCTTTGTCAAAGGCAGTAGTAGGAAATCCTGACTCTCACCTGGTGTCAAAGGGCCACTCATTTCTCTTCTGTTTTCAGCAGTGTGTCTCAGTACACTTGCAGAGTGTCCAGAGCAGCTTAATAATGTGCTGACTTGTTTTCCTCATCAAGGAAAAAACTGTTTGTTTCTGAAGTCAATTTATCTTTCTTGTTCCAAAGCTGTTGATGAAGCTGTAAGAATAATTACTGGAGGCCTGCCTGAATTAACTGTGGAAGGCAATGGACCTGTGGAAAATAATACCATGTTCAATAAAGCTGTCAAGAGACCAAATGAAGATTCTGACGATGAAGAGGAGAAGGGATCCGTGGTTCCTCCTGTACATGACATATACAGAGCACGACAGCAAAAGAGAATCCGATGAAATAAGTTCCAAATTGGACTGTGAAAGACTTGTATTAAGAGAGTTTTTTGCCTCTTATGTCAAATGTTTAAAAAGGGACAACCGTTTTTAACAAACATCTCGGCAATGAGGTTTTGTTACGGTGGTGCCTCTTTATACTGTATGGTTCTTGATCAGCAGAGTCTTAGAAAGTGCTCTAAACAAAATTAGGTTTTTCAAAAATAATAGCACAAAATGTCTGAATTGCATTTTGTTCCTCTTCAAGTGTGTTTACATCTACCACTTGAAGTCTTGTGGGGCTTTCAACAGTTTTATTTTAAAAACTGGATGGCTTATAATTGTGAAGCATTTTTAATTCACAGTTCCTGGAAAACAGTTGTTCTCAGTTTGCTCATGTAGTGTCCTGCCTTATTGTTTGTTTTTATTTATGGCAGAATGTATGGAATCTGTTTTGTAGTTTTAAAATGGAAAAAACATTCCATTAAAATAAAAAGATATCAAAAACTTCATGTCTTATTCAGATTTTATGTATACACTCTTACATCAACCAAACAAAGCAGCCTCAAAAGAGATAAATTTGTTGGGCGGTAATTCCTCATAATGGTTTCAGAGTTCACCTCTGCCCCGTCCCCAAAATATTGGAAGATAATGCATTTCCTCATTCCAAAGCAATTTAAAATGAAAAGAATTGACAACCACAAGATAAATTATCAGATGCACACTTTGTATATTGAAATTTCCAGAAGTACTGTTAGTCCTGCATTAATTTTATCCATCGTTACTGTCTTTAGTTTACAGGCAAAAACAAGCTATCAGTTATTAAACATATTAAGATTTTTTTTTTAAACCACTGCAGTCATTTTCAAATAGTGGTACTTCTAGAAGCAGCTTCTGTGTAACTGTACATCTTAGATTGCATTTAAACTTGCACCTTAATATTCAACGTTGCACTTTAATAATTAGAGCATTATTTTTTCTCCAGATTATACAGGCTCTTACTACACAAGACAAACAAATTCCGACCACTCATGTGGAGAGCTGTAGTTTAGTGGTGCTAGTGAGATTTGAAGAGGTGGACATATTCAGCCAGTAAAGTATATTCTTCATATTGTGTAAGTTGGATTTGCAATAGGAATTGCTTAGTAACCTGCAGCACCATACTTTCATTTGATGGGAAACAAGGTAAAGCGTAGAGGGGGATATTTACAGAGGTAGGCCCTCATCTGTTTGGCACAGAACTCTAGACTGAGGAGCAAATGTGGCTGCGTGAAGCAACACACAGAAGTTGAATCAGGTTCCAGTTGCTGGCCTGAGAGCTTACATTGCCATACTTATCTGAATTTATTTTTTAAAGGGACTTTATCAGAAGAATATTTTTCAGTTTAGCTCGTCACCCAACACTTAGAACACCTGGGGAAAGTAACTGAAATGTGACATATAGCAACTTAAAAAAACCACACTTAAAATTTAGTAGTAGGTAACAAATGCCCAAAATAAACATTACAACACAACAGCAACTTACACTATCTGCAAGACTGACAAAGCCCAAACAAGGAGGCGGTGGTTCTCGGTTAGTACAGCACCCCACACTCAACCAATGTGCCTGCTGCCCAGATAGCTTTTTAAAAAAAATGTAAATAAAGCTTTAGGAACAACACACAATATTGAGAAAGACAGGACTTACTGTACTGACCACATGAGCAACATGCATGGGTGTGTGTTGAGAACAGTAAGCAGGAGCTGGCCCTCATGGACATCTGGACTTTGCAGCTTTGTCTAATGATCCCCTACATTAAACAAGTACACATTTATCTGACAATTCAGTATTTGACCATTGCTTATCCATACAGCGAATCACTCATCCTGACATTGTACTTAGCATCCATTGAGTAAATGCTGTGATAAGCATATGCAGTCTCTGCTCATGAGAGACTGTTTCAGTATGCTCATTTTAGCATTAAGCTTGTAGGTTGGTTTGTAAGCGATCAGTGATAAATGTAGTAAGAAAACCAAAACAGATTCAGTGTATTTTTTAAGCAAAGCTGGTAGGGGAACCACTGGAGGTACTAAAGTCTAAGCCTGGAACTCTGTGCAGGATTTCCCAAACACTTCTATAGCACAACATAAATAAGAAAGCTCACCCACAAAAGCCATATAGGGCTGAGAGCGAGTTGTGTCAGTCACCACTCATCTGCTACTGGTGTACTTATTCCTCACTTAGACACCTACTCCAAAGATTTTCAGACCTGGGTGGTTAACTCCATATTTAAACATCTGATTAAGTAGTTTTATTTTCAGGAGGGCTGAGCACACAAGACCCAGGTTTGAAAATGTTAGCCTTAATTCTCAATTTCACATCCTATCAGCTCATGACTCCTACTTCTCATTTTGGCATCAGTCTCGGTCTTGTTCCTACCTTGAAATAATCACTCAAAAGGTTTCAGGGTACAGTAGTCAGAAGTTTGGGAGCTTTCACTGAACAACTTGAATCTACAAAACTGGGCTAGAAATTACACTAGGAACTGTGCCAATGGCCTGAGGAGAACCAGGATGTACAGAGGAGTGCGAAAATAATAAATTCCATTAAAAAAACAAAACAAAAAAAAAAACAGTTCAGCTGTGTCTCTATGTCCCTCCTCTCTATCCCATACCACTGCACTCGTATCATAACAAAAATGGATGTAGTGGTACCAGAAAGATGTACTGATCGCTTTGCGCATTGTGTCCTTTTCCCCAACAATTTAGAACCAGTACACTTAGATCTCATAAACAAGAATATCACAAGCAGAGTAGTTTGTTTTCTAACCTTCATCTCAGGAATTGTTGAGGTGAAAACCAAAACATAGCTTTGGAGTTGCAGCAGCATTTGGGCTATTGCAATTCAAGAGCACCATCTGTTGTAATAGGTTTGAAGCATCCACTGCGAATACACAAGAGAGTTAAGATCACACTGATGCTACACAAAGGTATGGAGAAATGTAGTACCAATGCTTGAGGACAAGAGCAAGAAATGCATCTCTCTAATAGCCCTCAGTAACTTCTATCTATGGAAAGTATAGCGTTTAAAGGTCAGAGTCATCTAGTCTGAACTCTTGTGTATCGCAGGCCACCAGTACCGCCCAGCACCTGCACACTAAACCCAACAACTGAAATTAGGCCAAAGTATTACAACCCATAGAAGACTAGACTATTATGTGCCACAGGTAGAGAACAAAGAGATTGAGGTACACCAGTGACACCAAGAGTAGAATAGAACATGGACAGTACAAAAAAATAGTGCTAGATAAACTTTTGAGCTTAAGCTACTTATTTTCAATTTACTAAAGAATGTTCAAATATATATTTTCAGGAGTTCAGCCAAAAGAACCATCCAACAAAGGAAATGGTTTCCTAATATTGTTGTTAGTTTTGTAATCATAAAAATGAGGTAAGCTTTGTTTCACATTGTGCAACCGAAATTTGAGATTAATTTAATACGCTAATGTGGTGATACATCAAGCAAGTAAAGCTATTGTTATTTTATTCCATCTTCCCCATAGAGCAGAAAACTGTTAGAGCTGTACATCCGATCTCAGTTCTAGCCCTAGGAACTAATGAAATTTCAAAATGCAAAGGGAAGTTTAAGTATTAGAATAAGTACTTCAGGGTACCTCCCTTCTTACCACTGTTCTGTTGAATGTGACTGACTAGTCAACCAGTCTATTATTTTATTAATCAATAGTGTCAAAAAAGAGGCCCTCTTTTAAATTCTTCATTTTATAATACAGTAAATATTCTATTTTTGTCATAGCGTCCCCCCGCCCCAAAACTCTTAGGACAAGGTACCAGCCTATCATTTATTAATACGAGCTCACTTCACCTTATATTACCTGAGATGCTAAGAACTTTGGCAACCATTTCTTACTCAAAACCTGATGGGCTCTATCAGCTGAAGAAAGTTTCAATTTTGCTTTTAACTGTCCTAAACCTTATATTTACTTCCAAGAAAAGTTTAAATTTCCATATTTTATGAATTATTAAGATCAGAAATCCTTCAGAGTGCATTTAGAGAACATCTTGTTAGTTATCTTCTCAAGAATCTAAAATACCTTGAGTTCAAGAACATCTGTAAAAAGTGAAAAAGCATCTAAAACACTAAATAATATTTTCCCATGACTTCAAATGAACTTTAAATAGTTCATTTCCTACTATACCTTTTAAAGTCACTGTTTAAAATATTAAGAAATTATTGGTATGTTTCAATTTCAGTGATATTTCTGAAACTATGAGCATATACAATTGTCTCATAAGTCACACAGTTTTAGAGAAAAAGGAAATTTCCTCAAGCCTGAAATTCAATGCATAGGTCTTTATGCATCTTCTGAAAATGTTAAAATGTTTACTTTTTTAAATTAGTATTTCACATAAAAAGGAGTCAACTACCAGCAAAAGAAAGGCAAGAAATGCCACTCTTATCAAAACATTTCTCTCTTGGCCCACCTGAAAGTTTTACAAAGAGATAAAACCAGCTGCAATCTTATAGACTGTCACCCTTGTAACACTGTACATAGTAGAAGACAGTTATTTGATAACCAGAAATTTCACTACAAAATATAATTATATCATGTTTTTGGTAACTTATTTGCAGAGAGAGAGCAAAAATTGCTATAGAAAATGTGATTAGCAGAAAGACTAGTAGCCTTATACTATTACAATAAAGTGCTATGTTTGGGCCTGCTCTTAACCACCATTATTCAAGTTTCTTACATCTCAAATTTTAAATTATTTCTTCAGTTGTTAAAATAGGATTTCAGAAGGCCAAATCACTCAGTATGGAAGAGACTTTTGCTAATCTTCGCTAGATGAATGCATACACTAACTTCATGGTAAATTGGAGAGTTAGAATGCTACAAAAAGCCTCCCACAAAATCAGCAATTTAAAAATGAAGTCTGGTTGTACAATTGTTTAGTCTTATCTAACATCTGCTCAGTAGCAAAAACTACAGCCATAAAATTAACAAACATATCTTCAGCATGAATACTTATGCTAAAAATGCATCTATTTACCATTTAATTCAAAGCGCCTATCCCAACTTATACATAATTTTCCCCTTCAGAATCAGTGCTATTGAGTTACAGTAATAAAACTATGTTTTAATGGAATGCCATTTTCCAAAGCCAAGTTAATTGCAATTTTTTTTAGCAGACAAAATTAACACTATCTAGATAGCATACAAACTGGTATGATGATTCTTCTGACTACCCTAACAATTGGGATTCTTCCTTATTCAGTAGTTTGCTGAGGATGACATCATAGTACGGGCTGAACACCATCTTGTTATAGTTGACAAGGCGAACATACTTGACAGCAATTTCTTCCATCTCTCTTTGAATAGGGCCTAATCCCCCAGGAATAGCAGGAAACGATTTCTGATGACCAGAAGTCAGATAGCTCTCCAAAAATGTCTGGATTCGAGAATCTGGGGGGAAAAAGGACCAAGGTGTTTTTAAATACAAAACAAGAACAATGCATGTGATCTTCCTCCATGGTGCATTACCAAAAAAAAAAAAAAATGGTGAGCACACCCTGTGTTATGTACTTCAGTCCAGAGACTCCTCCGAGCACAGATCCCAACATTATGTTCTACTGTCTGAAAAGATCACCACATTAAATAATTACAACTTCAGGCAGTAGACTTGGTGATGCAGGTGGCTGGACAGCTCAATGAAGATCCAAGTTTAGGAATTCAAAGATCACTTCTACAGTTGAAACTTGGGCAACTACACTTGAAAATTCTGACCTGATTTTCAGAGTTGCTGAGCTGCCCAAGAGGTCAAGGTAAGGCACTCAACTTTGTCTAGTGGCTCACCAAACATCAGAAGCAAGTGTTATTAAATATTAAATCATACAAAACAGGTTATTCAATGAGTTTACTAGTAGCAAAAGAAAAAAGCATGTTTGAGAACACTGCATATACACTCCAAGATTACCTATCAACTTGCATATGGTGTTGTCAGAGTTTCCCAATGTCTGGATCTGTCCTTTAAGCGCAATCTCTTTCTCAGTTGTGAATGGCGTGAATCCATGTTGGGAAAGACAGCTATTAACTTCAGCACAGACCTTCTCACCAACAGTAGCCAAAGATTCACTCAGGTTAAAGGAGCTAGAGAGAACATGAAGGAGTAAACCATTCCTTAAGGACTGTTGCTTAGTCATTTATTTTGACTCTTTACAATCAGTCCAATTATACTGATTTGAGCTGCCTATATATTAACAAAACACTTGTTCCTCTCACCACCACTGTCTATGGCAGTCATCCTAAACCAACAGGTGTCTGCACACATGTATAGAACAAACAATTTTGTGAAGGATGGAGGGAGACTGGTCCAAGCTATGAAGCATGGTTAACTGCCAACAAAAGGCTGTGGACTTGGTAGAAGATTTCACATGAAATCTGACATGACAGCAAATGAATTGTTTGGCACAGGCGTGTCGGATGGGGAGGAAAGGAATAAGGTGGTTAATTTCCTTAGAAAAAACTGCTAGCCTTGTATGCTTGCATGAGTGAAAGCCCTCCATTCTAATCACTCATCCCTTCTATCCTTCCTTAAGTTTCTTGAAGTCAAGAGAATAAGAGACGCCCATGCAATCAATACTCACTAGGATCACAACAAAATTAAGCCACTGAACACCACTTCCACAATTGAACATAACATAGTTGAGAGATGCTATGTAGGAGTCATTCAGATACTCACGGAAGGTGCATTCCCGTCAACAACACCTTTATAATGGTTTTGATTTTGTCAGCAAACCCTGGCAGATTGGAAAGTGCTGCACCTGCCACATTGAACATGACCAGGAGGATAGAACCAGTCAAGGTGAGCTGTTCCAGCTCCAGCTGCATTTCCTGAAAGCGGGTGTGGTCCATTAACAATGTCTGCAAAGATAGAGTAAAATCAAAATGCTGGGTTAACAAAGTATAGTGAAAATGAAATTGTGAGGCCATGTAACATAATGAAGATTATTCTGAAAACTGAATTCCTTTAGTACACAGACTTCAAAATTGTATCAGTATTCCATTCATTTGAAGGATGGGCCAGTGGTACCAATGCCACTCTGAGTAAAATCCAATAAGGGGTGCTCTGTAAGCAGCATGTTTGGAAGCCCAGAGAGGAAACATTTTATCTCCTACAAGATTTCCAAATTCACTCCTAAAACCCGATTTCCCAGATAGCAGTAGAATTCAATGTCATTGTTAGTATATATCAAAAAGATGCAATACTCAGAAAACAGTCCTCTTCCAATTAAAAGCTTTTACTATGGTTAAAGTTAGATAATTACTAGAGATTCCTCTCTCTAGGACCCTTCAAGGGATTGGTGTTGCAGTGGGATAGTGCACCAGTCTTTTATTTCCAACACCTAATTACACAATCAGTCTAGTCAAATATGGTCTATCTAATCTGATGTTTTCCCTATAAAACAGTGGACAGTGCAAGAAATCCACAATGAACAATTATAGAATAACCTTCCTATGGGAGAAATCTTTCTACACAGGTTAGTTAGTGGCTGGTTTATGCACTGAAGATGTTTGTATCCATTATACATTTTTTATCCTAAGGTAGACCCAAGGTTAAGTGTCAGTAAAGGTTTCATCTTAGTGCTTAGAGGACATTTGTTTCCATCCCAAATACCACTATTTACATTTATTAAAACTCAGCATGATAGGCAGTTTGTGCTCCAGAAAGATCCAGGAGTGGAGTATCAGGGATTAGCAGGTGAGAACCAAGGTGATTTAACAGAGCTGTGATGGTAAACTTGCACAATGCCTGGCTTTATCTAATGTTTTCAGTCCCTCGCTTTAATGAGCACTAATTCAATACACACAATAAAAGAATATTTTTAAAAAATGCTTATATTTCATCTTTGAATTACTCAGCTTCTATTACAGATGGATTTGTTTCAAGGCAAACGAATAAAGATATCCTCCTTTTGAGATAAAAAGTTAAAACTTATTGGGTAACTACATTCAAAATAAAGCATGAGAGTTATCAATTAATGGATCACATTACACCAATCAATTGATAGTGAACAATGTAAACTTTTGTAGCTCAGTTGTGAATGTTAGTTTTCTGAACTCTCTCACACGTGCCTTCCTCTCAAAACAGACTTACAGGGAAATACATTAGATGGTTCATAAGATACAAGTTACAACTACCATAAAGGGGAAAGATTTTGTAGAGTGTTCATCCTGGGTGGGCAAACAGCTGTTTGATTACTTAACTCAATGTCAGTTCTCGACATATCATATCCCTTATGCTTCTCCTCCATCAAACTGAATACAATGGTCAAAGTCAATGGAATAACTCTAGGTTTATAGTGGTACAACAGAATCTAGCTGCACTGTTTCTGCAATAAGCTGAAGGTTGTAAATCTAGTTTAAATTCAGAGGTTTGGGTTCAGAATCTTCCCAGCAATGAACTAGCCGTCCAGGTCTTAAAGATAAGAAGGTAAGAGACAGTTGATTCAAGACAGAAAGACAGACAATTCTTCTCCTGCAAAATCCTAAACCCTGAGATTTATGCTGTGAGCCTCATACACAAACAGCTATTAAACAGACATTTTGCATGCATAAAACCAGACATTAGTAATCAAAACATCTGCTCAGCCATGCAGAAAGAACTCTGAAGCATCTTTTTTTCTTTACAGTAACTGCAACTCACATAACATAATGCTGTAGTGAGAGCCCATGTGACAGTGTTTGAGACATATATACATATATAACCCACAGAAAATTACAAAATCATATACAGAAAATTCATAGTGGAACTCCCGAAAGGAACACCTGTTAAAGAAGTAACCTGATAAAAAGAACACATTATGATTTGTATTACAGTAGCATCCAGGGGTCCCACTGAGATTGGAACACTCCTGTGCGGGGCACTGTGAAAAGTATTAGACTATCCCGGTCCTGAAGAGCTTACAATCTAAATAGACAAGACAGAAAAATGGTGGGAGGGAAAACAGAGGCACAGAAAAGGAAATGACTTGTGCAGTGACACAGAGCCAGGAACAGAACCCAAATCTCCTGATTCCCAATCCGGTGATCTATACAGTAGATTACGCTATCTCACCTTCAGTTAAACTTCAGTTTGGGGGGGGGGAGGGGAAAGGATTTCAGGATGGAGTTATCCTAATAAAAGAACTGCAAGAGCTCCAGTTAAATCCTAAATCTTTTAGTATTTTATGTCAAGAACAAGGTTATGGATCCAAATGATTTCTGCTATATCACCAAAAACAGAGTAGAAAATTAAATAAAAGAAGCTACGTCTTCTCTTAAATACCTACTTCTGGGAAAGGCCTGTGCACATGATCCCACTTAAGCAGCTTTAGATATGCCCAATTCTGTACAGCAGCAGGACACAATACAGGAACTCCACTAGCAGCAGCACCAACACCAGGGGAAGGTGGATTTTTACACCTCAAATTGGCAAGATCATCTGATGCTTCTTGCAGCCAGTCGGTGACAAAGTCTAGAGAATCTGAAAGAAAGCATTTTGGTAAAAATCTTACTTTCAGGAGTTATCTTTTCCCCCCATGAATAGTTTTCAAATAATACCACTACTAGTCTTTCGTACTACCCATGGTGCTAGTTACGGAGATGCATTTTATTTACTTTATGATTCAGAACTTCTGCAAGATACCAAAACAGATTGAACACAGAGAACCTCTTGGATGGAAACCACAAATTAATCTGGCAGTACTACAGACAAGCATGTTGATGCTGATTTATAGTGTCATATATTATATTGATATCCTGGGTCTGGGTTTGTTTTCTGTTTTTAAATGCAGAATTGTTGTACCGGTAAATTTCTTGAATTGAAGCTTAGGGACCAGAGGTATCTCTATTTGAATTATGGACCAATGTAACAAAATACTGAATTTGGTGGGTTGTTTTGTGTTTGTGACACCAACATGCAAAGGCACATAATTTAGAAGAGGAAAAAAAGTCATACTTGGCTGTTTCTCAAAAATCTTCTGAAACTTCTCTCTTTCGTATTCAACAGATTGTTGCATTAAATGCGGCCTAATGCTACTGACAGCAAAGTTAGCCATGTCCATTTTCATTAAGTCTAATACAGAGAAAATTGCTCTGGAGAAAGAAAGAAAAAAAGAAAAGAAAAGAAAAGAAAAAAGATGTTATTTTTTCAAGCAGAGCTGCACATGTTTAAAATGTAGTTTGCAAGACTTACTTAGCATAGACTGTCCAAGGAAATGAGCTATTAAGAACATTAAAAAAGCATGGTAAGTATTTACATGGAGCTTGAAGTCTTGGGAAAGAACGCCAGGGTAATGAGGCTTGTTCCCCTGTAAAGAAACTTCGGAGAATGTACTAGAGTCCTTTTCACAGATCAGTTCTCTTGGGACACGTCATCACATGCTGAATTTAGGAAAGTCTTGAATTCCAAGCCTAACATGAGGCTTATCACTATACATGTGTATACTCTGACCTCTGTCAACCAAATGGCTCAATACACTACTGATTTCAGAGTAGCAGCCGTGTTAGTCTGTATCCGCAAAAAGAACAGGAGTACTTGTGGCACCTTAGAGACTAACAAATTTATTAGAGCATAAGCTTTCGTGGGCTACAACCCACTTCAACAAAATTCCCTATAACTGTTGAGAACTTGCACAATTTATTTAAATGAGATAGTAACAAAACGGAAAATAGCATCAGACATATACAGGCCCTATATGCTTTCCACTTTTAAACACCTGTAATATATTCTTTTATTACGTATGAGAAAGGAGGTGGAGGGGGAGAAATGAGGGAGGAATTGGTAGAAGACCACCCTAAAGCTGAGTGAACTTTACTATTTTCTAAATTATTTAATGTATACCAGCAGAAAGGAAAAGTGAACAAGGAATTCATGCTTTTTCTTAAGACGGTCTCCCAATATCCAGGGAAAGATTCTCTTACCTAAATATGCCATTTCAGAAAATGATTGTTTCCAATTACACAAAGCTACATAGAAATACCTTCAGTCCACCAGAACCAAAAGGGTCCTTGCTAATAGCTGCTGGAATTTTCTTCTTTATAGTTTTCCCCGTCTGCTTGCTTTATATTTTTCTAGAAAGAATTTTTTGCTAGCCGACTGTTTATGCCACCAGCATGCACAGGTAAAATTTGGATCTTTAACAAGGATCTACAAGCAAATCTGAAATTAAGTGACCCACAGTCTGATTCCTTGCAATTCCTTAACGTCATTCCAGTACCTGAATAGTGGGACTATTTCATGAATGTCTTTCAGTTTCTTAATTTCCTCATCTCTAACTGGAGCACAAAGGGTCCCCATCATTCCGATGATGAATTCTGCCAGCTTAGAAATATCCAGGGCCCCATTCACGGCCTCCTGCTTTATCAGATCCAGATCCAGAACTTCAGTAATCTGATTTCTTAATCTAGTATGACCAGGCAATAAGAAAGATAGAAGAGCCTGAAAGAAAACAAATTTTCATTTTGTTAGTTTTTCACAACAAACAACATTATTGTTTCACCATTTTACAAAGGAACTGAATAATGGTCTGAATTAACAACCAACTTCATACTGGATTTCTATGGCAGATGATGTCTTAATAGTTTTTCAAAACATAGGGCCACAAAAATTACACAGTATATTTTTTAATCATAGTTTTCCTGCATTCTATACTGTATTGGTGTTATTCAGATTGTAAGCTCTTTGGGACAGGGAGGGTTTTTTCAGTGGTGGGTTTTTTCGCTAAATCTAGATTGGTGCCTTTAAGTGCTATTGTAGCAAAAATAATTAATGTCACATTTTGCTACTGCAACCTCAGAATTATTAAAGAAACATTCCCTGCAACCTTCCCTTCGTCTAACATGACTCGGCATTTCTTGCTTTCGCATTTGATTATTTTTTCCCCCATGTGTCCATGCAGCCTATAGATAAAGCTATCGTCTAGACTTCTACAGAGCATTTTGCCATCGCTGCATAACAACTGTGTGTATACAGTTTGCGTATCTGTACCATGTAATCTCTGTAAATTACTTCTGATGTCACACCTTCTTACCTCTTTAATCTCCCCCACAAGTTTAATTGATTGATCATATGTTGGTGGATCTTCGCTTAACTGGGCTTCCAGACAGTCCCAAAAAGCTTTATGTACAATCTCTTTTACAGTTTTCTCCAGGCTGTTAGTAAACACAACAATATCAAAGTTAGTATCTTACATGTAATGAATTAGAGGGGTTTAGAGGAGAAAACTGCCATTTTAATCAGGCACAGGAGTATAAAAACTGGAATGATTTGGAATGGCTGACATCACAGCTAAAAAGATACAGAGCAGGTGAAAAACAAACCAAAAACAAGACCCTTAAAAGCATCCAGAAAACGCTACTTCTAAAAGTAATCTATAAAGAGAAGACAAATCACAAAATCAATTTATTTCATCTTCACATGAACAACATCAGTGTTTCTTAGCAATACATAACCCAATTAATTTCCTAGAAGTGGTGCAAGTCCTTTGGGTAAAATTTGAAAAGTGAAACCAGAATGTAATAGCAGTGAGATATTTCCTTCATGACTGAGCACAACTCACCACTTGTCAAAATACATGGGCATTAAGATATTTTTACTAAGTTGGATGGTCAAATTCAGAGTTAGTGTAAATAATCCCATTACTTCAACAACAAGTTACAAGTTTCAATGTTTTGATTTAATTGTGCAACTCTACTGAAGCTGCAAATGTTCACACCAGATCTGAATGCGGCCTTGATCCTTTTCTGAAGATGCCTGGAGCTACCTTGGAATTCTTACTCCATTAACCACGGAAGTTCAGGCAAATCCTGAAAGCAGTAACCATTTGTTCTGTTGTGTTTGTTGTATTTGAATCAGAAAATGCCTGAGGCTCCTTTATTTAATGAGACCATATATGCAAGGAGAGTCAGCATAGCCCCATGGAAGGTGGCAAGCTGCTCTGCCCTCCTTAAACCTTAACCAGCTTCTAAAGGTTAAAACCACAGACAAATTACACATACTTCCATATTAATTACCTTATTTGGAATACATTGCAAAATCAATACAGGCCAAAAGCAAAAACAAGCGTCTCCCCCTCTAGGTTCCTCCTGTTACTCACTGTCTGTTCTTTTGTGGTCAGCGACCTTTCTAACACAACTGTTGCAGTTATATATTTCATAAGCCTGGAAAATTACAAATTGTACTGCTTGGGGACTTTTCCACTGTGACTCCTCCTACCTCTTGACACACAGAAACAAGCAGGATCTTTGTGTAAGGCCTGCAAGTAAGCTTGACCAAACTCAGGGCCTTGACTAAAGTGTACCCTGCTAAATTTTCCTCACAGTTCCAAGAACAACTTAAGGGTATGTCTAACGCTACAGCTGCAGCGCTTCAGTCCAGACATTACCTATGCCGACAGGAGGGGTTCTCCTATTGGTGTAACGGCAATTCGCCTCCCCGAGAGTCGGTAGCTAGGTTGACAGAAGAATTCTTCCATCAACCTAGCGCTATCTAAATGGGGACTTACGTTGGCTCAGGGATGAGGATATTTCACACACCCAACCGACATAGTTAATCCGACCAAATTTTCTAGTGTAGACCAGGCCCAAGAGTCAACTTTAGAGAGTTACTACAAAGGAAGAGGATGTTAAATATAGAAGAGTAAAATAGTGGTGCTAGAATGAAAAAGTGGTGAAAAGCTAAGAAAACACATTACAATTCTTTTCATGGAATTTTTCCCCAAAAGTATCTGCATATCCCACTCTTTACATCCAAAGGATTGATATAAACTGCTATTTCTTTCTTTCTATCAGTAACCATCTTACCTGCCTTCTGGTAATTCAGCTGGTTTAATCTGGAAGCCTCCATTGACTACAATTTTATGTGCTAATGCCATATTGGAAACTCCTTTTGCTGTTTCCATCAGCTCTTCCATCGACACAAGCCGAGGGGGACTAGCTGTAACATTAACAAATATATGACATTTAATTATTCATTCAGAAGCTGGAGGTAAGATCCTCCTCCACCTTTCTGGGCCTCTTTCCACCAGTCGGCCAGTACAAAGGGGATGTAGAGCCAGTAAACAAGCCCAGCTGAGGATTCCCTCGATGTCATAGATCTGATGAGGCTGCTTCCTCTACAGCACTGTTGTGCTCCAATCAGCCATTAACTAGGCCCCAAAATGCCTGCAACCTCTGCTGCATCAAGTCCCTCCTTAAAACACAAATCTTCTTTTAGGGCTATAGAATCAAGTCCTTCCCAGGTGAAGGGGGCAAACCATTTCTACAAAATATGCAGACAATATTGTGGGGCCAACAAGCTTCATATGCAACTTCACCATTCAGTCCTGGAGATTTCTGCTGCATTTATTATGTGCACATTGCCATTTGGATTGTACATTTTACAAGGCAGGGAGGGATCTCGTCTTCCAAAGTATCTGTAAAGCACTTACACCACCACCACCAGCACTATGCAAGAAAACAGCTAGTTTTCCCTTCTCTACTTCCAGTGGCACCAGCAACCTACTTGCCCCGTTTCCTGAAACCAGGGTCTTGCTATTCTTAACTTGCTAATGATTTCAAGGCCTAACCTGTGCTCTGATGCCACAGCTCTTCTCCTTCCATTCATCTCTGTATGCTCAATGGGACATGGGTTGCTCCATATCCTAGAGCACGGCAAGAAACCCGAGACTGGGGTTTGGAGTGGCATGAGAATTAGAAAGTGCACACAGGAATGGGAGGCAGCAGTGCGGCAGGACACCACACACACCAGGTCCAGCTTTCATTAGGTAGTAAAGGAAGGAGTAACTAGCTATAGAAAAATGGGAGGTGGAAGGTCACTGGGTGGTAAAGCCAAGCCTTGAAAACAGTACCAGCTGTCTGAACATAGTGGGAACTAGTGCTCAAATTTGTCCTGACTTAGGTTATATAACATCCCAGGGCTGATGTTACGGTGATACAGAATGCATTAGCAGCATATAGAAATAAATGTGGTAAAGGTGATGATGATATAATAGATACTGATTAAGGGAGTAATGCTGCACCCACTGAAATCAACTGGAGCTTTGCCATTGACCTTCTTAGGAGAAGGTCTCCCCCCAAGTTGTGCTTGTAGCAGTGCTGACGTCAGTGCTAAGCATAGAGACAGAGCAGGCCTGCAACAAGCTATTCTGAGTAATAAAGCATGTGCCTTCCAAAAACTGAGAAGAAAAGGGAAGAGAGCTCTTCTCTGGTCCAATCATCTGTGAGAAGAGACCATATCATTAGTGCCATCAGATGAATAGAGGGCTGGCCAGACTTCTCCCCAGCTGCACAGAAGGAAAAGTGAGAAAGAGGAATATAAAGAACAGAAAGCAAGGATTGGTTGCTCTGTCACCCTGTGATTGTGATAATTCTGTCGCTTCAATTCCAATCTTGGCAAAAACATTACATATAATTACACACACCCCACCCCCCATACTGAAATAAAACCCTTTGAGCCATACTAATCACACATTAGGTTAATTTGGAATACATTTTTTTAGATTGATTAACAGGTTTATATGATTGGGTTTATGCAGGTAGCAACCTTCTACATGGAACAGGCCCTTCATTGAGAAGCCTTTCCCCAATTGTCTGCTATACAAAGTGTCATTTATTTAATAAAGAATTACTTGTGCCACTTTGTCATAAACAGCTCTTCAGTTCACCCAGCACTTTATACGCTTGCATATTACTGCCTAGGGTTTGATCCTGCACAATGCCTGTGGGGAGTATTGCGAAGTATGAAGTGATGAGCAGACAGGCAGTGCACTCAGCCTGCATTTAAATCAAAGTGCTCTTGCCTGATTGCCAAATTATTCCTGCCTAACAGCAGAAGTAAAGACTAAGAAGGGAAACTATAGCTAAGCACCTAATTTGTATGCTGAAAAATGCACTTAAGCACATCTCTTCAGACACACACATCTCTTGACCGTAGCCCCTTCTTTACCCAGCACTCATGACTAGCTACCTCTCAGTGCAGAGGACTATGCCTAACACTTGACTTTTACTTTTGCTCACACATGGACGGCAGCACGCTGGACTCTCTGAAGGGCATCTTGCAATATCAGGGCTTAGAGCATTAATCCCGAAGGGAATGTCTCTTGTGTTTGATACAGCTCCAAACACCATCATGCTCAACAAATAATTAGCACTGTTTTTAAAAACAAAAAACACAAATAATAAAATGCATTGTATTCAATGGCTCAAGACATAATTGTTGCCAGGCTTTTGCAAATAATATCTGGGGTAATTTTGTTTCTTTAGCCAAAAGCAGAAATCATACCCAGGGGAATTCCCATTTGCTTTTTCATTTGTTTTACCTATAGGGACTTGCTAGTCACACCAGACTTTTCAGAGTCAATAGTAATATCATAACCAGCTCCTACATTAAACACAAAAACACCAAACAAGAAAGACCATACTCTGGCAATAAACCTTAACACAACGTGATGATCTGGCAAAAATGTTTGTCACTGCCCTGTAGCATTAGGACTGAAAATGTTTCCAGCCCCATTAAAGCTCATTAATTTTCAGACTTAAGGTATGCTACACTGACTGGCAGAACCAAAAGCTGACATACCCTTCGATTTGACCTCTTTTGGGGGGTAAGGTCCCTTTGAAGGTTAAGGAAACAACTATTAAACTATAAACCAAAGGATACAACCCTCCAGAAAGCTAAGCGGATGGATTGGATGATGTAACAAGAAAATGAGCATACTATATTGGGCCAGATCCTGTAAATACTTAGACACTCAAATATTCCCACTGAAGTCAGATAACTCACAGGGGTTCTCAAATTGAGGGTCGCGATCTCTTATTACATGGGGGTCACAAGCTGTCAGCCACCACCCTCAAGCCCCGCTTCGCCTCCAGCTTTTATAATAGTGTTAAATATTTTTTAAAATGTGGTTTTAATTCATAAAGGCAGGGCCGGCTTTAGGCCAATTCCACCAATTCCCCCGAATCGGGCCCCGCGCCTAAAAGGGCCCCGTGCCCAGTGGCAGGGCCGCCAAGAGTGGGGGGCAAGTGGCAGAGAATCCCTTCCCTGGCTAGAGGCGCCTTTTTAATTTTTACTCACCCGACAGCGCTCCGGGTCTTTGGCAGCGGGTCCTTCAGTGCCACCGAAGACCCGGAGCGAGTGAAGGACCCGCCGCCAAAGACTAGGAGTGCGGCCCGGTGAGTACAAGCCCCACGTTTTTTTTATTTTATTTTTTTTAGTCATCCCTGCCGGGGCCCCGTTGAAACTATTCGAATCGGGCCCCGCACTTCCTAAAGCCGGCCCTGCATAAAGGGGTCACACTCAGAGGCTTGCGGTGTGAAAGGGGTCACCAGTACAAAAGTTTGAGAAGCACTGAGTTACTCAGATGCATAAGTATTTGCAGGTGCAGGCCCTTGGTTAGGATCACAGACACAGGCATGCACATGATACATGTGTAGAATACACCACTCTACTGATTCTGGTTCACAGTAATGTTAGATGCAAAGGCTGAAGTTTATTAATATCCTGTGCAGGACCGGCTCCAGGGTTTTTGCCGCCCCAAGCAGCAGGAAAAAAAAAAAAAGAGCCGTGATCGCAATTACGATCGGCGGCACTCCGGTGGCAGCTCCACCGCGCCGCTTTCTTCTTCAGCAGGAATTCGGCGGCAGGTGCTTCCCTCCAAGAGGGACCTGCTGCCGAATTGCAGCCGAAGAGCATGACGTGCCGCCCCTTCTCCTTGGCCGCTCCAAGCACCTGCTTGCTGGGCTGGTGCCTGAAGCCGGCCCTGATCCTGTGCTTTCCTTCCCTCCTCCCTTATGGGTATCTCTAGGCATAAGCGGACCTTGTGACCACAGGACCTCTATTATTTGCCTGTGGGCTTTCAGCAACAGTAGGGTTTAAAGTAGATGTAGATTTCACATAGTAGTGGAGGGTGTAAAAGACACTATTTCAAATGTTCATGGGAGCCTCCATATGACCACAGGTTGTTCTACAATAGCAGTCGTATTCTCCCCCAACAAAACACAGCACCCGGAGAATGATTGCAAGAAACCTGAATGCTGCTCCTTGTGGGCAACAGGAACTGCTGGAGGAGGACACGCAGAGCTCTTTCCCCCACCACACAGAGGCTGGCTATATATAGTGTGCCTCTGAGACCCTGCTAGTTTAGGACCTAAATTTGGCTCCCTGTACTTTTCAAAATCAATCAGATACAAAAGCACAGAAAACAATTATTTAGAAAATGTCAAATGGCCAAATTCTGAAGCCCTTATTCATGGAAAATTTCCCATTTATTTAAATAAGAGTTTTGATAACATAAGGATTTGGCCCAGTAATTGCAAAAAGTGAACTGAAGGAACAACTCTTCTCTAGAAGGATGTGGGTGGTGATTTTACAATGGAAGGATAGCCAGACGGGGTGGCAAGCCCACAATGTTGCTGAGCGCCTTCCACCCACATTAACTTTAATAAGGATAGAAGGCATTGTGCACCTTTTAGGATCAGGCCCTAAATAACCAAGGAGAGTAAAATTATGAGTTGATGACAACGGAATTCCAGGACTTCTTCTAGTGACAGCTTTCACTTCCTTCCTATAACTAACTGGAATGAATTTCAAGCTTACTTTGGGAGAAGAAACACATTTGTTGGTTTTTATTCTGGTACTGCGGCCTGATCAGGAGTGCTTGTGGGGTGCATTAACTTATGGCAGTCTTACCCAGCCTCCCTATGGGCTGCTTCACAGGACAGAAAAGCCAATGACATTAAAGGAAAAAAATGTTTCCTTCTCCTTTTTAATTATTAATGATCGATACAATATTTAATTAATTACACAATAGTTAATTGTGCAGCACCCAGTGAGCCTTTTAAAGGAATCTAAATATTTATCTTCACAACAAGAAAAATATGTTTTTGTACTTTATTTTAACAGATTTGCTTACATTGAGCTCTGTTGCATCTGTGTGGACTTGAGGTACTTTGTCGTATCCTTTCTCTCATAGATTGATCTGGGTTGTTCAAGCTGTCCTCTTGGATATCCTCTGAATCACTTGATTTTTCTTCACTTGTATGTGGAATATCAGGATCCTGAGACATTTTCAATGTTTCTTTTTTTAGGGAAGAGGGGGAAAAAAACAGAATGGAACTGAATTGATATACACTCTTCCTGCCCTTGCAAAAAAAAAAAAAAAAAACAACCCAAACAAACAAAAGCCAGCAAAATTCTCTGTATAGTTTTAGATAAATCAGAGATCCTCCTTCTTGATTTTTTTTTAAAGGTTCAAAATAAGGAGATCCTTTCAATGCAGTTATTTACTCAATATTTTTGTTCACAAGTCCTCAAAAATCTGAAACTGTTTCCTTCCCATAATGTACAAGATACAGATATTTTGTCTCGTTTGTTTTTTTAGGATTGCTAACAAGTGCTTGACTTTTTAAATATATATTAAAAGAAGAGAGACCCTTGAAGCAATTTTATGCACATACATTACTTGGATTTTGAAATTAGATAGAAGAAGAAAAGTAGATTACATTTTTAACCTACCATTTTAGACATTATCCCTACTAAGGAGTATAATAAAGTGTTTTGCTCATATGTTCCAGAACTGTAGCCAAATTCTGCACTGACTTATTATCAGAACTTGGTGTAATCCACCTGAAAACAATGGGATCCATCTAAAGATAGTGAGGTAAATCAATGCAGAATCTGGCTCCTAAATTTTAATTCCATACAAGCAGCATGATTTATCCACACAGGGAAGTTAGGATGATTTATTAAAAAAACATAAAAAACCCTGATTTAATAAACAACCAGTAGTTGTGGAGATTACAATGTTGGATTTTATAGCATAATATCACATCACATGCACTTTAGAATAATCCCTTGGTACACTGCAAAAGTGGCATTTGTAAAATATTTTGCTCAATTCAGTAACTTTACATCCTTCAGAGAAAAAAGTGAATGTGAAATAGTTGAAGTAATTTGCAAAGACTATCTACTATACATTAAGTTACCGTTCACTGGTTGTGGCTTCAGGTAATAAATAATAATAATACCTAGCTCTTAAATGGAAAGCTAAAAACATTTAAAAATATATCATTGCTCTGAAATCAAATATCCAGCATCTCCCCAACCTCCCATTTCATAGAATATCCTCTGCATGAAAATAAAGAAAAAAACAACAAACAAACAAAAACTTACTTTTTCACTTAATAATATCCGTGGACCACAGGCTGCAAAAGATGAGAAAGTCAGGCTGTCAGCAAAAGAAACTGTCCCAGGAGCACCTCAAGGCTATTAAAGGTAAACTGGAGCACAGGCCTATACGGATGAGAATGTAGCAGGAAGTAATACAGAGGAAATACAAGAAGGTGCTCTGAGTTTTTAATACAATAATTAAAAGACTGAACCTGGTGCATCCTACCTCCCTCATCTTAGAGGAGATAACAGGAAAACTCATCATGAATTATTTTGTATTACAGTAGTGCCTAAAGGGCCTGATTGTGGGAGGTGCTATACACATTCATGCAGTAAGAGACAGTACTCTGCCCCAAAGAACTTACAATCTAAATTGCCAAGACAGATAAAGGGTACGAGGCAGGAAGTATTATTCCCATTTTACAAATGGGAAAGTGAGACACAGAGAGGTTAACTTGTGTAAGGTCACACAGGAAACCTATGGCAGAACCAGTAACTGAACCCAGATCACTTGTGTTCCAGTCCAGCGTTTTAGCCACAAGACCAGCCATGCCCCAATCTGTAAGTTGCACCCTAGAGAGGAAAAGCTATGCCACCCATTTCTCTCTACATCTCTGAACCAGCACCAGAATCACTGACCATCTCTATGTCACATTTCTAATCCCTTGAGCCATCCAACCTCCACGTACAGGACTCCATCCTGTATTCTCCGACATAGTGCAAACACACCAATGAGCAGAGCACCAATCCTGATGTCCTGGAGTCAATCTAATACTCAACTGAGACAAGAAATAGGCCCCATCCATGGAACATGGTTCTGTAGCCCACATGGATCAGCCAGCCAACCTCCTTGCCCCATGGCATGCAAGGGATAACCTGAGCTCTTTCCGATAGTACAGCAGCAGCCCCAACCAAGTTCCAGAGCCACCCCGTCCCCAGCACATGAGAAAGGTAAGGATGGCGACACCAGAATGTTCAATGAGCAGAAAGGGTAGAGCAAAGGATCTCAGGCCTGGAGAATGAAGGGTCACAGCTACAGTGAACAATGCAGCAATTAGGAGGAGGTCTGATGACAAAAAAGCATCTAGAAGATGAGTACAGTGCTGGATGCTGTAGAAAAACCTAAGATGGATAAGGTAGGTCTTGTTAAACAAATGGAAGGGAAAAAATTGAACACAATTTCTATTCACTTTTTCTTGGAAAATAGTGCCAACACAAAATTTCCTCAAATATATAAAACAGATTGGATTGTTACTATCTATCCATCCACATAATGTGGTTTCCCCTACAGTACCAACCTGCTGCTTCCTTTGAAAAATGGCTTCCAGAAATTCTGAATCTGAAGTGCAAGCATGGCTGTATTAAAATCTCTCTCTCTCTCTCCTTATACACCACCACATCTGACTGCGTCACAATCATTAATGGATTTAAACCTCACAACAACCCTGAGAAGTAGGGAAGTATTATTCTTATGTTACAGATGGAGAAATTGAGGCGTGGAATGGATTAAGTGGTTTACTCAAGTTTATACAGCAGATCACTGGCAGAGCCAGGAACACAGACTAGAATTTGGCAGACATGGGCTATCTCCCAACCTACTAGAACATCCTTCTTATGCTACAGGCTACACTCTAATTAGTCAGTCTCCACAAAATAAAAAAGACTAACAGCTATACTCTCCAGGCTACACAATTTCACATATAAAATAAAAATTATTCTCCACATTTCATCTGTGCAGTGTCGCTTTGAAATCAGATGCCACCTGATCAAAGACCTTTTATGCATTTGAGGCAGTACTTGTTAGGTTAGTGTCTAATTTGCAATGGTCTATTTTCACTAGATTGTTACTATTGTCTATTAGAATGTATCTAGAACAACTCCTGTTTGCACTGGTCAAATAAGCTTAACAATGCCTCTTCTGAATCAGCTAGCTGCATCTTTTGTAAAGAGTTTGGCGTCCATTCAATTAAATGAAAAGAGTCTGTTTCATTGGACTTCTAATTTAAAATATTTTTTTAAACTTAAAAATAATAATTTTCATGGACATGGCTCATTTCATCCAAGGATCTCAAACTGTCCTGCAAATATTAATGTTAAATAAATGTCACAAGGCCTCTGTGAGATATTATTCCCAGCTTTACAGGTGGGGATACTCAACCGCAGAGATGTTTAGGTCCCAATGCTGGAATGAGCTCTGGGATTTGTTCATGCGTAGCTCATTGCGACATCAGTATCAAAATCACAAATCAAGTCACCGCCCTCGCTGAGCATCTCAACAGATACTCCTCACCCTTTAATAAGTCTCTCGTCCAAAACCCACTGACTTCAATGGGAGTCTATTGATTTCCATGGCCTTTACATCAGGCCCTATCCACCTAGTGAGAACCCCATTTACAACTTCACAACATAATAGTAGTAGTGAGCACTATTGCTGTCCTCCTTAGTAAACAAGCCAGGGAATCATGGGCTCCAGACTGCCAAGGCAAAATACGCATGCAGAAATAGTTAACATTTACCTTGTTTTATTAATCCCTCCACCCAGTCCCACAAATGATGCCCTGGGACGCTATTCTGCTGGAGCTGACCTACTGAATTAAGGCAAGTACTGGAGTTATTTGTTTTGTCTACAGTACTGCATGATTTTGCTAATGGTTCCTTATCACCCCTTTTGGGGTGCAGAATATTAAGCATCAGGGAGTCAAGCCAAACACGCACAGTAGGATGGCAGGAATAACAGGCTTTACCCACAAGCCTGCTGCGTACCTCAGTTATCAACCCCCCCACACCATGCTGCCCACCCCACATGTAGGGCCAGAACTTCAACCCCGAGCAAAACAACAGGGACCAGACAGAAAGCGGGGCCTGACTCAGCACTGCAGCAGGGACACGGGGGCCTTTCCCCAGACAGGGAGCCGAGCCTGCCAGCCACATGCCAACGCACGGGCTGCTCCCCCAGCAGGGATGCGGGACGGAGCCGGCCTCCTGTTCCCCCCGGCAGCAAGTGGGAGGCCGGGCAGCCCCAGCCCCTAACCGGGAGGGGAGGGGTGTCTCTCCAGCCCCCATGGGGCGGGGGACAGGGAGCGGCTCAGGGCGGACACAGGGACGCGGGTGCTGGCGCAGCTACCAGACCATCGGCCAGGCTCCGCGCCCCTCGCTTACCTGGGCGGCGGGCTGGGGAACCCCTCGCGCCGGCAGCGAGGCAGAGGAAGTGGGCGAGCGCCCGCGGCTCTCCCCCCGCAAGCCAGGCCCGGACTACGGTGCACGGGGGCTTTGCAAAAGGCCGGGAGCGGCCAGCCCCGCGCAGGGCGGCGTCATGGCTCTGAGCCGGGAAACCAGAGGCACAGCCGCAGCGTCGGGGAGCAGCGGGAGGATGCTGCGGAGCTGCAGCCAGCCAGGACCCGGGGGCGGCGCTGGCTGCACCAGCCGCTGGAGGGGGCTGCGGGCAGGAGCGAGCCGGTTAAGGAGGGGAGCGCAGGTCCGTGGCTAGCCCGGCCCGTAGCCCCACCTGCTGGTGTGCGGGGGGCGGCCCCGCTCCTGTACCACACCGCTTCAGCCAAGCTGCTGGGGTGAGAGGGAGCCGCTGCGCCACGGACAGGCCCCTGCGCCTCGCCCTCAGCCTTTAGTCCCTGCTACCAGGGAGAAGATGCTGCTTGGCTTAAACAGTCAGAGTGTAGTAGGGGATCGCCCCACCCAACGTCTTCAGCTGCTACATCGCGTGCTGACTTTCTGGTCAGAAGTAGGGAAAACTTCCCTATATTTCCCCTCCGAAGTAGCCGGGCCTAGCCAGCTTTACCGCACAGTGTGTGGCGCTGGGACACACACTGGGGCGGCTCTAGTACTCCTCGTACGCGTGTGTCTTCTGTAAGCATAAAAAACACCTCTCTCATTTTAAAAGGGTGAAACCTATTCACAGCATCAAATTGGCATGAACCCTTTCCAAGACACCCTCTTCTCCTCCACATTTCTAACCAGAGGCACAGAAGGGGGGGGGGGGAGAGTTTTCTTTACAAAAGAAAAAAAACCCCACACGTCCAACATGCTATGAATAAAGAATTTATATAGAAAAGGAAATGTATTTCCTCTGTTAAAAAAATTGATCCCTTAATTCTTTAAAGTGCATAATTTTCCTTCCAACTAAGCTACAGTTATTTGATTCAGTAAAGGTCTTATAATGGAAGACTAAAAGCCCTTAGGGTAGATAACCTACCATATAACAATCTTTTTTACTTACACAAATTGTCAGGTGACACCTTAAAGACTAACATTTATTTGGGCATAAGCTTTCATGGATAAAAAACCCAGTAAGGTTTTTTTACCCACAAAAGCTTATGCCCAAATAAATCTGCTAGTCTTTAAGGTGCCACTGGACTTCTTGTTTTTGTGGATACAGACTAACACGGCTACCCCCGATACTTGACCCCAACCATAGGATCAGGATAGAAAAGACTTTTAACAGTGACAAAGTTAGACTTATTACAGCATTCAAATTATAAAAGCTGTGGAAGGGTGAATGCAGAGTACTTACTATCTCCTTGTGGCTGTGTGGCATAGCAGGCTCTCCTCATCTAGCACTACCACCAGCTCTGGCCCTGAGGTGGTCTGCCTCTTCTCCTGAAAAGGCCCTGCAGTCAGTTCATATCATGTCCTCCTCCCCCCCAATCTGGGGTAACAGAGTCCAAACAAGAATCAGATGTCTTTAAATTGGGTCTTCATCCCCTTACTCTGGGCTCCGTGGTCCTTACAGCCCCCTCTTACAGCTTTCAAGAGTCCCTAGCCCCTTATATCAGGGGGCTTCAAACCACATTCCCTTATGGCTGTTAGGGGAACCCAGGCAGCCCTCCTCCTCTGGGTTCTAGCCCAGGGACCCTGTAGTGAGCAGGCAAGGGCTGTCAATTCAGACCTACCCCCAGCTACCTCCCTGGACTTTTTGCTATGTCAGGCTGGTAGCAGGGTTCCTACAGTCCCTTCCTAGGCCCACTGTGTACCTGTATTCTTCTTAGGTGCCACAGCCTCTCAAGACTCACCCTTCTTTCCTGGCAGGGCCTAGCCAGGCTCCTCCCTAGCATCCTCCAACAAATCCCAACTGAAAAATATAAACTGACACTAACTTCTATCCTCCTAGGGCTTGACTTTTCATCCCTCTTAAGTTTTCTCCTACTCCAACGAGAATGCTTCCCAGAAGTCTAGGTCCGAAATCAGGGCTCATCACCAGAGCTTGCTCCATGTCTCTCTTGGCTCTTCACCAGAGTGTCACTGCAGGAGAGGAACAAGGCCTCCTCTGCCCCTAGAAACCGTCTCCTTTTGTCCTGTAGCCCCATCATAGTAGCCAGCCAGCTCCAGGTTTCATCCCACATTTGTCCTGCCCCAGCCTACACCTGCAGCCAGTGCACTAATTGAGCTCCCTCCAGCTCCCTTTAACTGTTTCAGTGCCAGTAGGGGGGTTTACAGTCCATCACAATGCAGTTTTTTGGAAAGAAAAAGGTAAATAATTATTTTTTTCTAATGGAATTCTGGACCATTGTTATGGATTTCCCCACTTCATTTACTACTATTTCTGCCTTTTCCAATAGTCAGATATTTGAATAATGGCTCTAAATCAGAGGTCCCCAAACTGTGGGGTGGGGCATACAGGAATGTTCGGGACAGGGGAGCCTAGGCCAGCCTCCCTAGGGGGCAGGGAGGGAGCACCACCCAGTTCCACCCCCAGCTATGACCCTGGCTGCCAGCCCTGCCCCCAGCTGCCAGCCTCCAACCCCTGTCCATATCTCCCGCTCCCAGAGCTGCAGCCCCACTCCAGACTCTGGGAGGGGCGGTGGACAGGGGTAAGGGAGGGTGTGATGTAAAAAGTTTGGGGAGCACTGCTCTAGATTAAGTTCCTGAATTTAAAAAAAAAAAAAAGGTATCAGTGCAGTATATAATCACATATTCTCCATAAATCTATAGCCAAATAAAGAAAAGGAATGTACTTAGTCAAGCCTGGATAGTCTTTGAAGGTCATTATATTCTAGACAATATCGTCCCTCTCAAGAACCAAGTCCTATTGGGTTTTTCCTTGCACTCAACCTCCAATTACTCAATATCAGCTGTTCCTTATGTGAAAATACTCTAAGTGCGTGCTGGTAGCTGTAAAATTAGTTGAGACACTCAGACTGACAGTTGTCTACACCTTAAGAGCCACCACACGTGGTATTTCTTGCCCTATTACGTCAACTATTAAGGCAGTTTGAAGAGAGGAAGCTCTAAGAACAAATTTGGTACAAATGGGCACAGACAGTTCCCACAGAGCTAGGGTAGTCATAGCAGGTTAAAACTGGCAAATTAAAAATGTAGCAATATTAACATTGCTTGACAAAAATAAGCCTTGTCACTTGCTACCAAAGCTTTTTCAAAATGGATAACTACCGCTAACTCTTGCTTTTTATGTCACCCTTCTAGAAAGGAGAGGAAACAATTATTCTTTGCCTCAAATAAGTGTGAGGAAGAGGGACTAGGAAGGGAAGGATGGAGTCTTGGATCCTACTACCTCACACCTAGTTTGTTTTTCCCAGCATGCAATAAGGTGGTTTCAGTACTCAGTCAATTCACTTAAAAAAAATCCACCAAAATGGAAGCAAAAATACAGCTAAGCATAGCCTGAACAGCCATTTCTTGCACAGAAAATTATATATTAAATTAATGGGGATCACTGCCTATGCACAATAATTATCTGGACTTCCGTGGTATATGAAATTCTATGGCTTCATGGAAGGGAGAGGAGCTGTCATATTATAGAAAAATTATGTAATATTTGCATAGAGGTGTTGTATGTGCTCATTACCTAGTACTCCAGTAAGAACAGCAATGTGCGTTTTGTAATAAGTGTATATATACTCCTCTCTTCAAGATGCGGCACTTTATGGACATCTTCAGAAACAGGCTTGGATTTAGGCAGCTGAATGATCCATTTCACAATACTCACTCTGATCGTGAGTCAGTACTAAGACCATTTCAATGATCTCCCATATTTTAAACATGGCATGTCATGAATTCTCAGATTCACAGCTGTTAGGCACAGTTCAGTCTCTAATGTAGTTGAAAGTAACCTAACAAGAAAAATATAGCAATAGCCTATCTTGCTTTAGCTACACTGAATCAACACTGTGTCCGAAAGTCAACCGACTTCAGACCCATTAAGTAGCATCAACTATTATTGATCTTTCTTCAGGACAATCCATGTTTAGGAGCCAAGGAGGAGAGAGTCATTGGGAGCTGCAGGAGCAGCCATCTAGTTTTTTGCCTCTGTAGTTCAGCAACCAATGGCTATTTGCATTATGGCACACTAATTAATCACCCTTACTCTGCCAAATTAAATAGTAGATGGTTTCTCAGTTACATTGTTCCACACCAATGAAGGCGGACAGCAATTTAGAGTTACTGTACAGCAAGGGACATACATAATGAAGGGAAGCGGTTTTTACTGGCAAGCCCCAATAGCTTGGTGAAACCCTCTCAACTCCAAGTAAGGGCAAAAGTTGGCTCCAAATAATTGAGACTGATGACTATGCTCCCTCTCTAATCTTTAAGAGCACAATAGGAAGATCCATAGCAGCCTCCAGGGTTTCACTGTGGATTTATGTGGACAAATCACATGCCCACATTGTAGAACTCAAAATCCTTGTGTTTGTTCCAAATCACTAACTGTAGCTAGACGGTTCATACTAAGAGCACCCCACCACTGACCATTATTTTGCAGTAATCAAGATTCATTAAAGCACTCATAGGCTTGCTTTTCTGTTAAGCCAGTTGATATCCAGGTACAACTAAATATAATCTTTTCTACAGCAACTCTAAAGCCATTAAAGTCAACTTAAAAAGGAGTTGAGGGTACACAGCAGGATCAGGCCCTTAATGATCAAGTCATTTCCCCCATTAAACTTAAATTGGCACAATGCGTCATCTTAACATAACCGTTCAATTAGCAGTTTGATACAGGTTGTGGAATACCAAACAACAAGCATTTACATAATTTTCTAGACTACTGTGGTACTGCATTGATTAAAAAAAAAAAAAAAGGAAAGATATGTTACCCTGAACTGTGTCTTACAAGGGCAGTTAGATTAGACTAAGATTCAAGATTCTAAAAATTGCTGGAGAAGGAGAAATGAAACAAACAAACAAACAAACAAAACCCCAAACAAACCCCCAAACCAGGCCCAG